TTACTGTTACAATAGATGGGTTTTGCCATATGATTGTTAGAATATTTGCAAATCTAAGTTCTGCAATCAGGGAGTCTTTAATGTTGTAACTGTGTTGATTGAAACACAAATAATTTGAAGTGTGTCCATGACATAAGGAACGCAGAGTCATATCAGGGCTCTTTCAGAAATAGGCTCTCAGTTCTGTGGGGACGCAATGACCAGACTCTTGAACGGGGCTTAGTCTGAACTCCCAGTAAGACAGGGAATGAGAGAGACCAAAGGTCCCTGGACATTAAAAATGTCAAGTGATCTTTTTTTTTTTTCTTTAATGACTGGCTTCTTTGCATTTTTTTGAAAAGCTGCACCTAAATAATAATTTTTAGCATAGATGAAGCTTTTCTGTAAGGTTATCATTATTAGATTACTAAATTAGAAGATGCATTAAATATTTTATTACTATGCTTTGAATAACCCAGTTATAAAATTATCCTGTGTATATTTATGCTTAGATGTGCAGTGATGTTCTTTATTCTAATTAGCACTCAAATATGTCTTTAAGATATTTCAATTTTCAGGAAATAGCTTCAGCTTAAATTCTAATGGACTACCTGCCAAAAAAGCAAGGAGTTAAAAAAACAAAGCCCAAACATTTTTGATTTAGAAACACTATGTGTTAGCCAATATTTAATAGTTATAAAATTAACACACTTTACGACTCAAAATATAGGTAATAATAAAGATTTAATAGAATGAACTAAAACATGGTCTAAAAAAGATGGCTAATTAAGAACATAAAATTAAAGAAATAGTTTACTTTATCCATAAATAAATTACTATGCTTCAAGCAAGTTAGAAGGGTAGGCCATGAAGAATGGAAAAAGCCATTTGGTTACTATACAATTCGTTTTACAAGAAGACCTTTTTCCACCAAATTTGGAACAGAGAAAAACAGTTCAGTAATTATGCATCAATACTATATTGTGAAACTTTGTAAGTACCTTTCCTTCTATTTAGAGAATTATACCAAAGACTGATTTATATAAAATGTATACTGTAACTAGAAATACATAGTAACATGCATATGAGATAAGAAATAATTTCCTATCCTATTCTTGGTCCTCAAAAATGACAAAAAAAAAATAATAACAAAAACTTTTTGGATGTGAGAATGGTGAAGGTATGAAGATTGCCATTGAGTATGAACAAAGTATTAAGCATTTATGACAGTGTGAGTGTTGATTATGTGAATTGCTGTAAGATATAGTATTTAATACATTATTTTCTTCCTAATATTTCTCCCTTAGTAGGTAGCTTTGGGGCATTCTTTATACAATTAAAGTGTTAAATAGATTATTCCAAAGGTCTTTTTGTAAATAATTCTCTGTAACTTTATTGTCAAATGAGAAAGTAACAGAGGAAGGAAAATTGAATTATTATTAATTTCCATTTATATGATTTCAATGTGTGTAGATATTTAAAAATTGCAAATAAACATAGCAATGATTTATTTTCTTGGGAAAAATCATTAGCCTTTAGAAAAATCTGAGATAACAGATGTGAATGAATTAAAAATTGTTTTTCTAAAATATCAGTCTAAAATAAAATAATCATTTTCATACATCTGTACACATTTCTATATCACTTAAAAATGGATGGTTTAAAAGAATGCAATTATAGATGAGGTTATAAAATATTTTATAGTTGCAAGTCAATTGTTAATGTAAAATTCTTTGAAATCTAACTCCAGGAAAACCTTGTTTTATTATAGATGGCATCTGAATTAGCTATTAATTAGCCAAGTTTGTGCTTGACATATTGAATTTAGATTCAGAAATGGTTTGGAGATTAATAAATGGTAAAATGTAAGTTTAAAAAGATGTTTTGGATGAAATGTTATTAAAATATAATACAAGTATTTTAGGAGACAGATGAGAAATCAATGGAATGATTTATTTAAAAATCTATATATCTATTTCTAGCATATGTTAGATTCTTTTAGTGCCAACTCATAACTGCAGAGTGATATAAGATGTTACAACAGACAGCGTATATGTAAAAAAGTGGCATTTCTATTTTAGTTAACTTTGAGATGGAAGTCACCATAATTCATGTGAATTTAGTTTCCATATTATATTACTTTTGGATATTATTGTCCTGACCAGATTTTCAGAGAGCACATAGCTCTAAGAAATAGTTGTGTTTAACATAAACTCTGAGTATTTGTTTGCAGGAAATAATTAAAATCTTATAATTTTTGTTTTGCTTGAGAAGGTAGAATTTTAACCCCTGATATCAGAGTCATTGAAATAGATTTTGTTTGAATATAAATTATTGGGAAACTACTTTTCCTCAGATATGTACGAAAGAAATTTGTAGAAAATAGTTCATCTATTTTAAGAATATCTTAACTCTAGAATATAGCAAAACTGACCTGGCATGGAAAGATTATGATGTAATTTAGTGTAGATAGATGCCATATCGTTTTCAACCATGGAACCTCAGTCTCTTCAACCAAAATAGTATACATGTATATTTGTATTTGTTCTAAGACTATATAGAGCTGACAAAATTCACAGGGCAGAAAAATCAATTATTTGTTATCCTTAGAAGTTATCTTGAATTATTTTTAAAGTAAGACAGCATATAAATATACAAGTAAATAAAATAATTACAAGTTTGCATACAGATAGTCAAAATGCAGTCAATGATATCTGTATTAAAAAAAAAACTAACCATTGTGCCTAACAAAACATAAACTCGGTCATGATTTCTTAAATCTAGAACTAATGGTCTCTTGCTATTTCATTTGCATATATAAATAATAATAAATGATAAGTAGGAAAACAGAGGCACTAGAATATTGTGGGAATGTGTTTTTTCTCAGCAAACCATTGTATCATCATGTTGCGTTGTGGAAGAAGCTACATGAAATGCATTAAAGCAATCCCATTTCATCCATACTGCTCAACACACAACATGTTCAGAGACATCTTGGTGTGTCTTTATAAGCCCCCAGGACTAAAGTAGTGATATCATACATGAGAATAGCAACTTCTAACCAAAATACATTCATGTCATGCACACACCCACATATACACAGCACTGGAGAGCGCATCCGGGACATGGTGGGGTGGGTAATCAGCACACAGCAGGCCATGGCAGTGTGGGGTGGGGAAATAGGGAGATAAGAGCAAACTTGGATTCTTTCGCAATAGGCATAGGATTCTCTGGTACCTTAAGAGAGGAAAAAGAAAAGTACAAAAGATTGTATACAATGCCTAAGGCAATGCCAAACCAAGTTAAAACTTCCCTAGGAATAATATTTGCATCAGTGGAAGGTTCCCTGTGGTGACAAACTTTCTGTGATCAGACTATTTTATGCACATTGCCTATTCTGCCAAATCAGAGCACTGAAGAAAATTCATGTAATCTAGTACTCATGATAATGAAGGGCATAGGATCAACATTTGGACTCATTTTGATTACGTTTATTTAAAGATTTAGATTGCTCAGACTGTTTCTAAGCCAAATACGTAGTTGAAAAAAAATGATGAGTTTGGTCGGCCCAGAGCATTGTTAGTTGAGGGAAATAGTTTTCAAAAAGTCAAAGTAAGCACCCCTGAATTTGCCCAATGCTTATATATTTAAAAAATAAATGGGATGCGTATACTTTCTAGTGAATATATTTGTATTACCACATTGGTTTTTTTTTAATAAAAATAAGAATTCATTGTCTGTGAGGTAAGCCTGATTTTTCATCAGAGTTCTTTGTAAGGCAATATTTAATTGAATATATAACTTTCGTTCTATAGTTTCCACAAACATTAACTGTTTGGTTACTGGAGATATAATTATAATACGTTGGTCTTCCAAAGAGAGATTATATAGATAATCCCTACTATATAGTCTTATACATATATGTATATATATGAATATATATTGCAATACTACATCAGATTATGCAAATTCCCTGTAATTAAAAATTTACAGTTAAAATAATAAAATACAAAAAAGTAAAATAGATCATTTGAAATTATTTTCCTGAGATGAAAAACAAAGGGGGAAGTGGGATGCTGGGAAATAACATGTGATTTTAGTAGCAAAACTTATTTTAAAGCAAACTTTAAAATAATACTGGGTCTATGTAATCTGCTATGAAGTTGAGATTACTGCAATATTCATTTAGTATTATGTCTCTTGCAGGGATCCTTAACTGCAGTGTACAGTAGAATCATCTGGGTAGCTACTTTTAAACACACTCCTTACCCCAGCTATTTTAGTTTAGTAAAGAGGACTATTTGTATTTGATTTCCCAGGCTAAATTCTTGGCTTCAGTAGATTTATATTTAATTATTGCATACTATATATAACGGGCCCACAAGTCAAACCACCTATGGACTTTCTATTCTAGATTACCTTTCTAAATATTTAGCTGTTGTAGTTGGACATATGTCCTTGGGATATCTTTTTATTCGAAAATTTCAAAGGATGCTGCTATCAAAACAAAATTGTTCATTTGCTATAAATAATCTCAACATATTTTAACATTAAGATGGGTTCTGAAGATACACAGATTGTACAAGCATTTGCTTTTGCCTTATTTTGAGGTCTCCTGTGCAGCTGCTTTTAGAATTCGTGTAAATAAATTTCCCTCTTATTTTGAATCTAATGTTTCTATTCTATATGATTGCTTCTTCTGTGAAGATTGTTGCAAGATATATATATTTCTCTTTAATATACATTTAAAAATCATTTTGACTAATCAAATAGCTCTCTTGATAAAATGAAGGGCAATATTTAGATATCTTTTTATGCAATGAGGGAAGACGCAAGTGAAGTTCTTAGAAAAAGAGAATACAGAATACCCTTCTTAGTTGAAGGGGTTGGTGTTTGCTCAGCTTCAAATATGAAAGGGGCTATGTTCCCCCACCAGACACTGCCTCAGTGGTACAGAATATGCTGTCTGCTTTTTACTGATGACCACATTCCTCTATTTAGAGTTAAGAAAGTCAATTTACCATGTCTGAGAAACGGTAAAACTTCTCCAATGCAAAAGCTTCTGTCTGTGGGAAGTGGACCAAGAGGGATTGAGAAACCAGAGAATCAAGTCATATATGATTAAATATAATTATACAATTGTTTTTAATCACATATACCATTTGAACATACATATGTATCAATTAATAGATTTTCACAAATGCAAGGTAGCTACCCCAAAATACGAATAGAACTTTAAAAAAAACCTAGTTTTTCTCTGCATTAAGTCTTAATCACACTTAGTTGCATTTGCCCCCTGAGTATGTCAAGTTGTTATTAGAAAATAATAATATATGACAATTTTTGCATTTCTTTATTTTCCCAAAGTATCAATCACTGGAAAAATTAATCTTTCCATCTTTCTATGAACTAAAGAGTAAGGGGCATCACATATTTTTTATCTTACTTCCTCCTGTGGTAAAACTGAGTAAACAGACATGTTGGTAAGAATAATTTTTTGAAAAGGAGGACCTGCAGTTGAGTGTCTCAGTTTTCCCACTGGGTACTGTGACTGTTGGATGGGTGGTGAATGTAGAAGATGTTTGAGCTCTCAGACTTTGCCTATTTGGACACCATATGCATAATACTTCTCATTTCTAGTATTTGCAGCACGTGGTTGATACATTCTAAATTGGTTAAGAGAAGAAAGAAGGTAAAGAAATGGAAAATGAAAAAGCAAATGATAGTGATAGGGAAAATGAGTATTGCTTTACTTCTGGTTAATGACACTAGAGGGGAAAATTGTCTTTATCAATTACTAATAGGAAAGAAAGACCAGGGCTTCGCCCACTGTGACATAGCATTTGTCCCCTGTCAGCCAGTGCCAGGTATCATGAGAGAAAAGGAGAGCAAGTAAGCGGGAGACAGGGAGAGAGGAGGGGAGGAAAGAGACATAAAAGGAGAATGAGGGGAAATGAGGAAATGTAGAGACCAGTACACTAGGGTGAGGTGGAGGAAGATAAAGAAAAGTTAATTTCCCCATCACGATACATTTCAGTATGCAAATGATATGATTTTGTTTTCATAAAAATTTAACCAAATGTAAGCCCTAGCATTGTTTTCTGTTCAGTGTAATACTTGGTCTCCCAATGCTGCTGTTCTTTTCATGCTATAGTTAATTGGGTATTTATCTGTGTAGTGATGATTTTTGAGGGGTAACTAGAAATAATTGAATAAGTTACTGTTATAGAATATGTTTAATGCTAAGTAGACTCAAACAGAGATCAAAGCTTGGTGCTTCAAAAAAGTTTAATAAATTTATAAATTGCAGTCAATTATTCAGAAACCATAAAGAATCCTTAAAAAATTAAAACCTTTAAAAATATTTAAAAATGTACATTATATGAACCAGACTATTATCATTAGACTCATATTTTGACTCTAATATTCCAGTGTATTAGATCCTGGCCACAATTATACATAACTTCAACATTACTCTCTATTGCTTTGAAGACCATTTGCTTTTTAAAATGTCAGTTGGCACATTCATATCAGAAGAAATAAGCTCAGAGATTTTCTGTCAATAGGAACTCTCCTCTGTGGAAAAGGAAAGGGTTGGTCAAAAGCAGGCATGTAAAGGGAGAGGGCATCACAGGTCTGAATGAAGGGAGGAAACCCATTCAGGGCATCCAAATCCAATTAGGAGGCTACTTCTACAACCTCCTGTGATCTCCTAATAATGTTCTAAATAAATTTTCTCCTGCTTTCATCTTTTATCAGATGATAGCAAGGCAACAAAAGCACTTTATTGTATTTCCCAAAGGGTTTCCAAAGAAATGTCTTAAGAACAAGAAAATACGCATAAAAAAGAGACCACATAGTTTTGCGTGAACTTATCAACATGGCATTAATAAATAAGCAATATTTGATGGAAACCATTAAAGTAATTAGCTCAGAAAAAGGAATAACTTTAATAATTGCATTTGATGACTTAATTCAAGTAGAGCCCTTAGCAACACTGTAACATTACAAGGTAGAAATATTTCATTGAGGAAAAAAACAGTGTGTTCCAGGAAGTACGTTAGAAAGAAGTTGATAAAGGTCTCACGTCACCAGATATGCTGTTTAGAGTGTAGCTAGGTGTCATTCTTTTCTCCCTGAAGCTATTTTTGACACTTCAAGTTTCAGTTAGACAAAATGAAAGGAATATCATATCATTTCATCCCCAGTCCCAAATTTCTTCTCTTTGCATCTCTATTGAATACAACAAATTCACTTTCCAGTGAAAATTGGATTCCACCAAATCCAACATTTAATCACTTACCTTATTCTTTCTCTTTCGCCGAAATCTCAGAAGTTCTTTGTGTTGCCTTGATACAAAATTTACAGCTGCGTACTCCAGAAGTGCTGAAAACACAAAAAGGAGGCACACTGCCATCCAAATGTCAATAGCTTTGACATATGAAACCTAGCCAAGAAAGAGAAAGCAAGCAAATTGATTTATTTTGTTTCTTCCTTTGAGAACAAAACTGAATTTTTCTGATT